GTACCGACTGAACAGGTTCTCCTAGTGTCCCCAATGTCCTGGATCTTGGACCGCTTCATTACTAAATGCATCGAGAGCCACCACTAAGGATTCCAAAGACAGATAGAATAGCAACATCATTAGCAATGTCAAGGTCGGTAACCTTGATATTGCCCAGAGTTGCTCCACAATGACTTTGAATAGTAGCTCTGCCCAGTATCCAGTCCAGGCAAGTGTTGAAAAGTGTTGGTGCAGGGACACAGCTTTGCCTCACTCCTGAACTAACAGGAAAGAAGCTCGATAGGCCCCTCCACACTTTACAGCACTTTCAGTACCAGTATACAGACGCTATTAGTCCAATAATCCTTGTTGGAATTCCTCTCAGTCTCAAGATATCCCAGAGTGATTCCCGATGCATCGTATCGAATGCCTTCTTGAGGTCGATGTAGGCTGCAAGCAGCCCACGCCCGAACTTACGACGGCGCTCTCTGATGACTCGAAGCGCTAGGATGCAGTCTATTGTGGACTTACCAGGAGTGAATCCAGATTGCTCCGGCAACTGATGCCTCAGTAGGTGATCTCTGATACGCCTCAGAAGGACGTGGGCAAGAACCTTGCCTGGTATACTGAGCAGTGTGATGCTCGGGTGGTTGCTGCAGTCCATCGGTCCCCTTTCCCCTTCCAGAGAGGGATGACCACACCCCTCAACAGGTCAGAGGGAACGGTACCAGACCCCCGCGCCATAGGTTCACCAACAGTTCAGCTGGATGCCACATAATACCAGCTGCTTACCACTCTTCAGCTTGGAGATTGCCCCCCTAACTTCGGTTGGGGAGGGTGGATCCTCACTGATCGGTGGGTCCGGCAGCGGAATCACGGCACTACCCGCATCCAAGTTAATTGTTGTGGGTCAACCAGGTTACAACTGCTCAAAATACTCAGCCCAACGCTCCCGCACCGCAACAGGATCTGAGATGATCTGGCCACCTACTGAGCGAACTGCTGTCACCTGTGAAGAGGGCTTGGAGTTCAGCTTTCTCAGGGCTTGGTATGCAGGACGAAGGTCATTTACTAAGTAATGGCCTTCTACCTCCTCTGTAAGACTCCTAATAAACTGTTTTTGTCCCTTCTTAACAGTGACTGAGTTCTGCGCACCTGGAACGGATTAAATCCCACCCCTGCCAGACGAGCGCACGACAACATCTGTGGCATCCATGTCTCCTGTGAGATGAAATTTCGTCTTGCTCTCGGGCGTTCACCAATCGTCTCTTGAGCTGCATTAGCGTTTCGCGTTTGAAGGTTCCCGCAGAAGTACAGGTCCGTCAGATTGTGAGCGCTGTATAATTATATATAATATATATATATATATATATATATTATATATATATATATATATATATATATATATATATATATATATATATGTATATATAAATATATATATTATATAGTATATATATATATAATATAATATATATATATATATATATATATATATATATATATATATGTATTATATTGAAGTATTATCAGTCACTTTAGCGGCTATACTATATCTGCTGTCAATGCTGCCAATGTCTTTGATGTCGTAGTTCATCACATGCTATCTGTGTGTGTTGTGTGTGTGTGCGTGTGTGTGTGTGTGTGTGTGTAAACAGTGTGTGTGTTTACTGAGTGCAATACCCGGATAAAAGATAAGCAATACCTTGAGTGTAATATTGTCTTTAATCTTCTAATTTTCCTCAAGAGCACAGTAGCTGATAATAGCTTTGTCACATGGCCGTTAGATGGTGCAGAGTAACAGTCTGGCCCTTGCAATATCAATTGGAAGGTAAATGCGCTCAGGGAAACGATAAAACGTGGAAGTGCTTAGCGTAATTAGAATTTTGCGTCTATAGGCCATCTCACCAACAAAAAATCATCATCATTGTGGACATCATTGTTCATCAGCTTCAATTATTTAATGATGAATGGTGCATAACTGATGTATTGTTATTGATTAGAACATTAACAGCATCAGTAATAGTAGTAGTAGAAGTATAGTAGTCATATGTACTATCCAATGCCTGAATATTTACGTCCCTCCGTTCAATTCCCGTTTTCTAATTGAGGCTGCACCGGACATTACAGAAAACCTACGGTGGGTAACTTGTATATAAATGAAACTCCAACCAGTTTGTTTTTATTCCGTAAATCTACCGAACTATTTTTGTTGTTAGCCATAAATATGCTATTTTTATCTTATCATTAGCATTAAAGATTTGTTTTATTTAAAGGGAATTGTTAGATTAAAGGATATAAACAACTTGAAATAGCTTCGTTAAGACTGACAATTACCTTTAATCCATTTACTTTACCGAGTTAAAGATGTTATAGATAGACTTAATCCTGACTGGAAAAAGTTTTTTTCGCGAACGTGTCTTAGCGAGCAACGTTAGTGTATGGGCTGCGACCTGCGAGCAAAGGACATTTATGGTGCGACCAAAGCATTAATTCTTCGCTGTTAATAACGATGTTCTAA